CTTTATTTCCTACAAGAACAAAATTTTGTACAACAAATTGATTATCAACTTGCGTCTCAAACTAACTCCAAGTTGGATAGTATCATTACCAACATAACTCTGGTATATGCATGTTTCAGAGTCCCAGCAAACTTCAACTTTATGGAAATAAATAGTTAGATCGTCTCAACATTCAATATATTTGTGCAACCTCTCTATCTGTTTGAAGATTTTATCTTGTTTTTCATTGTGAAAAAATTATTTTCTGTCTCTCTTACTATAGCTTTGTACAAAAGACATAGAGAATCCAATTTCAGCATAGAAGGTGTAGCCAATAAAACCTTTGTACAAAAAAAAGGAAGCCTCTTTTTACTAGGATTTAAATCTAGCAACCAACATGCTGCTTTTTACTAGGATTTAAATCTAGCAACCAACATGCTGAGATTTTTTTCTGGTGTACAAGGGAGGCAATGAAGCTTAAATCTAAGACCTTGTTCATACTATACAAGTGCCTTGCCACAATCAATCCTAGTTTGCTTAGGAGCATGCTAAGATAAGCAGATTTATCATCTCAAAAGTAGTTTCATATATTTGATTTCACATTCCTTCCCCCAAATCAATATTTCACCTAAGTTAATAGGGGAACATACTGTTCCAACATTTTATATGTATTGTAGAATTACAGGTTGACAACATAAGCTCTGCATCCTTTAAGTATACAATATACAACAACTTGAGAAGGTAAAAAATGTATGAATTTTTAACATTTTGGCTGGGAAGAGAGAAATGGGGTGGCAGAGTATTAAAACGAAAAGACTATTATTTTCCTACTGATCAAGAAGGGGACTCCCTTCTCTTGCAAGGACAAACAAACCACCGTCTCCCCTTGATATTCGCAAGTCCTTATCAACATACGTGGTAATCAGCCAGGAGCTTGTCCTCTCACCAGGTATGGGAATCTTAAGTGGCGACTGACCTGAAATGACACGTGATATGTTTGCCACCACATTCTCCAGAGGGCCGAGAGACTGTAGCAGAGGCCCTAGGCTAAGATTTTGACCAAAAATGTTTATGTTTTCTGGTAGGTCAATTTTAGATTTGATCTCTGGAGGTTGTAGTGATCCTTCCTTGAATGTAACCTGCTTTCATTTACAAATGTTAGGAAGAGTTTCTAGTTATATGCAATCTAAAAAGTTCTAAGCATGCTGAGGAAACTACTGATTAACTTATAACATAGGGTAGCATACTTATAGCAATATATGTGACAGTTATGCAACTTATGTAGCATTCATATAGACACCAACATTACACTGATATGTCAACACTAGTAATAATTTAACTGGGCGTGTGAGTGTTGTGTCGGTGTCAAGTGTTTGACATTGACACGTGTGGAATACCTGATACGCTTTCGATGTGAAGTGTTAGTGCTACATAGTATGCAATAGACATATCTTAGCAGCAACTATCTACTAATGAATACAATGCAACTAGAAGTATCAGCAACTATTTAACTACTCAAGTACAAATACATACTATGAAGTTCAGCAACTATCAGCAAATACAATACACACAATATAACAAACATATTCTTTATTACATTGCCATCATATTGCTTCATACTAAAAAAACCATTTGTCAGTTTTCACAACACAACCAGAAGAGTTTATGAAAGAAACAATTGTAAGAACTTAAAAGTTCCCATATAAATTAAGAGATGGTTGTTTATGGCTATACAAACTATCCTTTAGCTTCTCTTTTCTATTTCTTTTATGGTCAAAGATGCCCAAAGGCAGAACTAAGGTAGTGTGTCAGAAGGGTCAGCATTGCCTCTTGCTGATTGAGTTGCTTCCCTTTGGTAAGATGCAAAGCAATATCTGTGTGTTTTTGGTTCGGGTGAGGCAGGGTCATAACAACTTATTAATTATTGTAACAGAAACTCAAAGCCCAACCATCTAACTTGCTAAATCTGAAGCTAAAGGGAAAATACTAATTGAGAATCTTAAGAACTCTTGGGAGCAACCAACTAAAGCTTTTGTAAATTGATATTTTTTTTTTTTTATATATTTAGCAAGAAGAAATACCAATACAATTTTAGGCAAATATTTTCTTAGACATGATTCATGATATGACATCAAGGCGAGGTTTGTTCCATATAACCGATCTCATCTAGGGTTGTTTTAAAAACCAATACACAACTGCAAGTGCGGCCGCGACATCATGACTCTTTGTGTCTACTCAATCACAACATCAATTGGATATGCATCAGCCATACTTTAGTGCAATTCTCAGCAATATCAGGGACTATGACTCTGCTATTTAAAGGCTTTGGTTGTTATTGTAGTTATATATGTTACCTTTCAACTATGGGTATGCACCTTTTTTTTTTACTTATTAAGCAAAATGCAAAGGTTTTCACGAGATTACCTGTATTCTAGTAGGGCTTCGAACTTCAAATGAGGCAGATACACTAAAAGAAAACGAGGCAAAAGGGCTAGACAATGTCGTAGAGTTTACAACAGTGAAGCTATCAGTATCAATTGTTTGCGAAATCTTATCCAACTTCAACAAAGGCAATGATCCTGCCGCTAGAAGGGGCAACAGTTCGGAAGATGCTGTGTACCTGAATTCAGTTAGAATATCATAGAAACAATAAGTACCTCTATCAAGAGTCACTAATACAACAAATTTTGAGTTAGTTACAACTTACATCATTGCCAATAACACCTTCATTTCTATGCAAAATCCTCTTTACGTTTAAACTATTATTATAATTGTAATACCAGGATTAATATTAACCACAGAAAATGATTAAGACTTACAGCAGCACCCAATTCCCATTGAGAATGTCAGGCTCCTCAACCGGAGCGGGGGTCGGGTTAGCAGCTTCCAATTGAGCCACGAACTCGGACACCTCAGCTCGAACTTCTGACCGAGCTCGGAACCCGAGCTCAGTCCCATACACAGTGTCAACAAGAGAACGCTTCAGCCCCTCAAGATTTTCATCCACCCCGTCCGGCGCCGGAGGCGGAGCTTCGGCAGTGAAAGCCGGAGTTCCATTCCCGGCGTCGTCATAGCTTTCTGCCTCAGCTGCCACTCCTTTTCCCCATTCATCCTCATCCTTGGGAGGATCCGAATCTGGAAGCTTGAAATATGTGAACGGCTTGGCTTCGGGCTCAGACCCCTCGCCCCACTCGTCGGAGATATTGGATGGCTTTTCGGTGTCTCCGGTATCGCCGGCGGCGGAGATGGAACGAAGAGAAGGGAATCTGAGAGAGCGAGGAGAGAGATAGATTCGAGAGTGGACGGAAGAGAGAGAAACGGGTTTAGGAATTTTGGAGAAGACGAGGGGAGCGCGTAGTGTGGAGGAGAGTAGAGCCATCCCAAAGTGTTTGAAGCTGAAATTTTTGAAGCCGTTTATTTTTTGTGTCACCGGGAAAGCTAAATATCGAAGGAACTCGTTGAAACTGAATCACCCAAAATAAATTAATATCATTATTTTTTATTTTATTTTTGTTAATAACACGTGCCTAAAGACACATCATGTGCCTAAGAGATAGTATACATCTTTTAAATAATGATAAATTTAAATTTACTTTTGATCCACCTAATTTTAAGATTTTTAACTTTTAATTTTTAATTTAAAAATCATTCTTTTTATCGTTCAATTTTACATCTCTTAAAATTAAGTTGGCCTCCCTTCAATTTCGGGACGTGGAGTGATTTATTTTTGAATAAAATTAAAATTGGATTAATTCAAAAAACTCAATGAGATACAAGGCGATCCATATAGAGATCCAGCCCATCAAACTATACAAAACTAAATTCCAACAATTATTCAATCATATACTTTATTATATGCTTTTTGATTCTTTTACTATACCATCCCTTATACACTATATTATCAATTATCTCTTTTATAACAATACTTCTATTCGCTTGATTTTTGAAAACTCTATCATTCCTAAATTTTCAAGCTCCATATAAAGTTTTTGTGGCTGCTACTTTTAGCAATTCAACTTTCCAACCCTTCTTGTTGCACTTTCCCACAAGCCACTCAAGCTCCTCATTCCAACCCTTAGGTTCATGCATAATCTGGATCCATTCTAGGACTTTACACCAAATTTCTTTCATCTCCTCACATTCATAAAACAAATGATTAATTGTCTCATTGTTGTCACACATATTGCAACCATCATGAGTGGTCATCCCAAATCTCTTTAATTTATCCTTAGTAGAAAGTTTTTTATGACATGCTAGCCATAAGGTTATTATGATAGCACGAGGTCTTGCATCATTCTTGTACATCAATGCCTTCCAGTGTACCTGCACATCATCATCAACCAGACAATCATATGTTTTTCTATACTAAATTTACCCTTCTCATGCATATTATCCCAAGTTTCCTGCATCTGTGCCACCTTATTCCTTTGCAACAGATTTTTCTTAATGATCCACGAGAATCTATCCTTGATGTCCACCTCCACCAGACTTTGCTTATTAAGATAATATGCGCGCACCCACTTAACCCACATACTATCTGCCTTCTGACTTAAGTTCCACAACAAACACAACATTATAGCCATGTTCCACAAATCCAGACCAATCATATCCAAACCACATTTATTTCTTTTTTTACAAACATCTTTCCATGCAACAATGCTCTTTCTATTGATTTCCTCCCCATCTGTCCACAAGAATGATCTACACAGAGCACTAATCTTCTTGATAACACAGTTAGGCAGGGTAAAACACATTATCGAGAACTTTGCTACTGCAAATGAGATGCTTTTAATTAACTGCAATCTCCCTGCATAGCTCAACAAGTGATTACTCCAATGCTTCATTTTACCTGTAATATTCTCAATCAAAACCAGATAGTGACTGACAGCCAATTTTTTACTTGTTAGAGGTACTCCCAAGTACCTAAAAGGGAGGGAGCCCTCATTGAAATAGGTCATTTTTTGAATACTAGCCTTGGTAGCATCTTCCACCCCCAAAAGAAGATCTTACACTTAGTAGGATTAATTTGCAAACCTGTAGAATTCATGAAGTTGCTGAAAGCTTTCATCATAATCTGAACAGATTTGTAGTCCCCCCCTCGAGAACATAAGCAAATCATCCGCAAAGGCAAGATGAGTAACCTTTAACTTCTCACACTTTGCATGGTGGTTAAAGTCCATATTTTCCTGCATCTTAGCCATAATCCTATGCAAATATTCAATGATAATTACGAACAAGTAAGGGTACATGGGGTCCCCTTGCCTAAGACCTATCTGAGCTTCCATGATCCCTGTATACCTCCCATTACTACTGAACTTGTAGGAAACTGTTGTTACTGCTTTCATAATCCACTTTACAAATTGATGCGGAAACCCGATCTCCTACAGAATTCTCTTAAGAGCTGGCCAATCCACCATGTCATACGCCTTGTGAAGATCCAATTGCATCGTATAACGAGGCGTGTCTCCTTTCCTGCTATAACCCTTAAGCAATTCATATGCCAATAGAATGTGATTACGAATTTGTTGTCTTGGCACAAAAGCAGACTGACAATTGTTAATGATGCTACCCAAAACTTTACTCATTCTTCTTGTCATAACCTTTGAAATAACCTTGTGCATAATGGTGCACACAGAAATGGACCTGTAATCTTTTATATATTTAGCATTATCAGTCTTAGGTATAAGAGAGATAAAAGTGCAGTTAATAGCTTTATACATTTGCCCCTGTTGAAAGAACTCCAAAGCTACTGCAACAACATCTTTTTTCACAACCTCCCAACTAGCTTTAAAGAATTTATCACCAAAGTCGTCTACCCCTGGAGACTTGAGATCATCAATATCCCTCACAACACTATAAATCTCTTTCAGTTACAGGTCTAACTAACTCGTCCCTTCGCATACAATTGAGTTACACTCCCTGTCTCATTGCAACAACATTAATTGACCGCAGGCTAGGTTCTCTTTTTCCCATGATACCCTCATAATACTTCAGAACTTCCTCATATATCTGCCCAGGTTCAGAAACTATGGATCCATCCTCCCTATACAAGATGTTAAGACTTCTGCCCTGATGCTTGCCCTTTATAGAAGCATGGGAGTAAGAATTATTTCCATCCCCTATCTTTAACCATTCAACCTTTGCCATTTGCTTCAAAATATCCTCTTCAATATCATTCCACTTAATAAATTCCTCACTGCATTTTTGACCTCTTTAATCCTACTACTGCTCATTCTATCGCCAATCAAATTGTTCTGAGCAGTCTTCAAATTCTCCTTTGCCTTAATAATATGCATGTTAGCAGAGGTCATGGGCTTGCTTAAATGCTTAATCCCATTTTTAAGCCTTTTTAACTTTCTCCAGAGGATATACATTGGCCTCCCCTTCACAGGGACTTCCCAACTATTCTTGACAGTTTCCTCATACCCATCCATGTGCACTAAATAATTGATAAATCTGAAGTTATTTTGTTTGATTTTGCCCATATCCTTCCCAGCGGCATATAAAAGCCCATGATCAGAAACATGGGGTGGAAGAATCTGCAGGGTATACTCAATTTGTTGGAACCAGTCTATATTTCCCCAACCCTCTATCAATTCTAGAGTAGATTGTCCCTTCAGAGTGCTTGTTGGACCATGTAAAATAGTCTCCCACACTATCCATTTCAAACAATCCTACTTTCTCCATCATTTCCTGCAAGTCCCGATACTCTCTCTGTTACTGTAGCCCCCCAACTCTATCTTGAGGCTTTAACACATTATTAAAGTCCTCTATGATGCACCAGGGCCCTAGCTGCTTCAAATCTGCTATGTCTCTCCACAAGTTTTGTCTTTGCTCCAACTTATTAAGGGCATAGATGGTTGTTAACCAAAACATAAATTTCCCTTGAATATCATAAACACCACTATGAACCAGTTGGCTAGTGCTCCTAACAAATCTGATGTCCACTTTATTAGGGTCCCATTCAACCCAAATCCTTCCATTCTCATGAATGATGAGTATAATCATCTAAGTAATTCCCTCTAAGATTGAGTTTATTCCTAACAATATTAGCCTATCATATTTCATACTAGTTTCCAATAAGATATTCACATTGGTCCTAAGCTCTAGGAGACGGGAGCTAATCTCCCTAAGCTTACCAGTTTTATTCAGCCCCCTGACATTCCAAGCTGAAATCATTATCCAATATCCCTGGTCCCTAGTGAGTCATGCAAAACCCCTAGAGCTTCAAAAACATTTCCATATATAACATGACTTGGTGATCCTTCATTCATGATTCTTTTGCCTCTATCTCTTGCACTTTTGTTGACACTCCTCAATTCCTCCTTCTTTTCTTCCTCATGCTCAACAACTTTAGCAACCATACTTCCCCTTTCGCAGGCTCTGCAAGATAAGCTACTTCAGGAGAAGGCTTAGGTTCAGTAGGTGGATTGGTTACTTCTGGGGTTTTTTTCTTTGGCTTCCATTGATTTTCCTTAGGCTTCTGCACATCAGATTGATGACCTGCTTGCTGGCACTTCTGACAAAACATAGGCTGCCACTCATATTCAACTTTTTGTGTCATTTTTTCTCCTTCTTTGTCCCTTAGAGAAATCTCTCGTGGAAGTAGTTGAGTTATATCGACTTCAACTATAATTCTTACATAGGACACACACAACCTATGTGTAGTACACTCATCAGTAATCTAAGGGTTTCCAAGAGCACTACCTATCTTGTTTAAACTTGTTGGTCCCCATAGGTGCAATGAGAGATTGGGAAGTTTAATCCATAAAGGCAAGGTTCTCAACATGTCCTTCTTTAGGTTAAAGTCAGGTTTCCACTCCCTAATCAAGAGAGGCATGTTCCGGATGGTATATGGTCCCTTCATCAAAACAGCTTCACGGTCCTGAAAAGTCTTTAATCTGAGCAAGAAATAACCTTCATCATGGTAGAACATGTCTGAGAGCTAAATAAAATTCCACATTCTAATCATGAATTGCTTGACAGAGTTCATGCTTAAATCTCCACCAAAAACGTACAAGATCAAAAAAAATTCCCAGTATCAAATCTCTGATATGGCGTCCTCTTCTTCGATTTCCACTTCAATTTCTCTGTTAACAACTTTGGGAGCTATGAACTTCATTTCTCTACCCCTGGATGGCTCTCGATTCTTATTCAAAACATCCACCCAAAGTTTCCTCTCTTCTTTAGGTATCTCAGCCTTCTGCGAATCATCCTCTTCATTTGAATTTTCCTCCTCCCTCAGATCTAGTGATTTTAGATATAGGGTTTCTGCGTCTTCCTCATCCTTACCTCCACTGGTGCTCGAGCTTGATTCATGAATGATTCCCTCCTTATCCTTTAGTGTTACCGTTCCCGGTTTCTTCACCGGATTGCTTTGATTATCAGGTGACGGTGGCGCCGGATTTTTCGGTGGCCTCCCTCGTCCCCTTCCCATCGCTTTTTTTGGGAACATGGGGTGATTATTTTGGTACGTGGAGTGATTATAAGGATAAAAAATTATTTTTAATGATGTAAAACTGATTACTAGAATAATTTATTAATTACTATTTTTATTGAATAAATTAATATTTTTTAATTGGTTTTTGAATTAATTTATTAATTAAAATTCTTAAAATTAATGTTTAAGCCCAAGCACACTAAGGATCAGGAGCCAATTACTCAAGACGTCAATAAGACCGGCAAGAAAGAGATATCTAAACACTAAGGTTTTATTTTATCAAAATAGATGTGGGACTTGTTCAACACAACAACACATTTCAACAACAAAAAACCTTATCTTTTTCTCTCATTGTAACCATGTCGTCATTAATGAGTGTTAAATTGTTGTGAATTTTAATGTGAATAATTAGCACTCATCGACTTAATTTGTTTGCTTTTTGTCAATAAACCTCAACTTTAGTGTATATTCGATATAATTTACGTTATAGTGTATTTATTGCGTTATTGTGTAAATATTATTGAGTTTAATTGATTTTATCTCATTTTTGTAGGTATCCAAGCATTGATATTTAGGCATTGTTAGATAGAGCATTGAATAAGCTTTCCAGCGCTTTCAAACGGGCGCAAATTGGAGTTAGATTCAAAAGTTATGGCCGAAACAGTGCAGAATGTTGTGCTGGTTTTTCAACTTTCTATCATCCGTCACCGGGCGACGCTTTTACTCGTCGGGAGATGCTAGACGAGTTGTAGCGTGGGAAAAACACTGTTTTGGTCGCCGGATGACGCTTTTTGGTCGCTGGGCGATGCTGGACAGCCAGAAATGCGTATTTAGGTGTAAAAACACATTTTTTGAGTATGATTTTGGACATTTTTGACCCTAACTCCATCACCCTTCATTTTGTGATAGGATTAGCTTAGAAAACAACATTGAAGCTTGCATACGGATGATCTGGGATGGATTGCTAATCAATTGGCGCTGACAAATCGGGAGATTTGTGGTTCATTTTTCTTCCTCTTTGTGTATTCTTTATGTGTTGAGTTTGGAAATGTATTTACTCTGAACTTATGTATATTTGTCGTCCATGGCGTTATATTAAACTTGATTTATAAATCTTTGTGGATTGTTGTCTTAGATTTTTGCTTTGTGCTAGGGATTTAAGTTGTTATAGACATATACTGCTTAGATTCTTATCTAGGATGATTATATGTTAGTTTCTGAACTCTAGAGATAGATTTAGAGTTGATATCTACTTGGGTATCAGAGCTTAATGCCTCTGTGTGGTTGTGATGTACCGAGAGTTCGTCAATGCGATTACATAATTATCTTCTGTGTTGTTGAGGAGGTAAAGAGATCATTTCCTTGGTGATACAGTCAGTTTCTCAATTTGGGTTAGAAATGACTTAGGTTGTGAGTGATACGTAGTGACATTGATGAGTATTGTTAGGTTAAATATAACTGGTCGGTAGATTTAAGTCTATGATGAGTAGATTATATGCAGGCTTAATAAGTTCTTCCTTAATTTTTACTTTTGTTTACATTTACTTTCTGTTAATAACATTTTCTTTACAAACTCATTTATCCCCAAACTCATTATATGAGAGATTTTTCAAACGACAATTCAATAACCAATCTCTGTGGACATGATAAATTCTTAGATAAATATTTCCAAAACTTTTGTTGCTTGCCGCTACACCTCTTCCAACAAAATGACGTTGTTGCTGGGGATTGGTTCTATTGATTTCGCATTACGATAACTCTTTTTTTTTAGTTTTGTAATTAATGTATATGTTGTATAGAAATTGTATATTAACTTGTATATGATATTTGTGCATATATGTGTTTTCACGTATTGTTGTAAATTGTCTCATTTTCGTAACGTTTGTTGTGTGATTATTAGGATACTTTCTTTAGGTTTGCACGGTGTGACAATACCATAGCATGATGAGAGGAGGTTACTAGCTCGCACAATAAGGGTGTCGAGCTTACGACGTAAAACAAACATGTTGGTTTGTATTTGTTTATGTGTATGGTGATTTGTGCTTTAACAAGTTGAAACAAGGAAATATTCTGAATTTCAAATCTTCACTTTTGAACTTGTTAGTTCATTTTCATTCGGTTTTCATATCGTTATTTATATTTGTTTTGTTATGTCAACTTGTGTTTTCCAAAAGCTTGTCGCGTTTAGCTTGAGGATTTTTGTTCATTGTATATATTGTAAACTTTGTACATTAAAAATTTATAGAAGTATTATTTTTCTAATTTTTTTGTTGTTGTTTGTTATCAAAATTTAGTCCGTAACTTGAATAATTTTGAGGTGATTTTCTGAGTTTGATCGTTTTAAATCGCGGATGTATGATAATGCTATTATTTTGAAGTTGGTACACGTCAAGTACTCGTTTATCGCTTTCTATAACATAACATGTTTAAGAAACTTTTCATTTGTATAATTACCATGCCATTCATTCTTTTTCATTGCTTGCTCATGACTTGAATCACTTTAGTTCCCTTTTTACTCATAAATGTAAGGAACATTTCCATTGTTCATATATACTGGAGGCCACAATTCTTATTTTAACGGGATTTTATTATGTTTAATCTTTTGTTTGTGTTGATTGTATGAATGCATGAAAGTGATCAAGGCATTTTGTTTTATTTTGAGCACAACTACCTTGGGCAAATATTCAATTCACCTTGTGAGTGTGTGATCATTTGTTAATACCTTTGAGCTTTTATCAATATCCATGTTTATTTGAACTTGATGCTTGTCTATGAGTGTTCAGTTTACCTTTTTTATGGATGTTGATTCTTTTATTTCTTGAACCCTCAATTATTTGTTGTTGTATGAATTTTTATCTTGCCTTAGAAAGTAGGGATTATTCACACATTAATGTTGGTTGAATTCAAGTTGGAGAGAGTAATGTTTGCTCATTTATAGTGAGGTTGCTATGAGGTTGAGAAGAAGAAAGAGAAAAGAAAAAAAAGTGAAAAAGAAAGATTAGAAAAAGAAAGAAAAAAAATGAAAAAGATTTGAAAAAGAAAAACAAAAAGAGTATGGAATAATATTGTGTTGAATAAGTGGTGTGTGTTGGTTTGAAATTTGGGATGAAGAAGAAGTTTGATTGAAATTGTGTTGCTTGAGACTTTGTGAGTAATTAATTACTCCCTTAGGTTTAGGCAAGTTTTTGTTTCGATTAGCTTTAAGACTTATCACTTGTTTGTTAATCAAGCCACATTACAACCTTGAAAAGTCCTTGTGATTCTTGCCTTTGTATTTTCAATATGAGTTTTTGGATGAATACATAATTTAGTCTATTGTTTGCAAGATTGTGGATCAGTGTCAAAAGTTCTCATCATTGTGTGTTTTTTATCTACCGATGAATGTTTGCTAGGTGTGATTCATGATTGAACTTGTTTTGTTTTAGAATGTTTAGTATGATTTTTGTACTTAGAATTCGTTTCGTTTACATGTTATCGTTGTAGTTTAGTGGTAAGTTTTTGTCTTATGTGTACGTTTTTATTTTGAACCATACATTTGTTTTCTGTTTTCAAAAACCTATTGATTCGTGATTCTTTGATTATCGTCTTTTGCTTCTTTAAGTTTATTTTTTGTTTGAGCACAAACAATGTTTTAAGTCGGGAAGAGTTTGATGAGTACTAAATTGTTGTGAATTTGAGTGTGAATAATTAGCACTCATCGGCTTAATTTGTTGCTTTTTGTCAATAAACCTCAACTTTAGTGTATATTCGATATAGTTTACGTTATAGTGTATTTATTGCGTTATTGTGTAAATATTATTGAGTTTAATTGATTTATCTCATTTTGTAGGTATCCAAGCATTGATATTTAGGCGTTGTTAGATAGAGTATTGAATAAGCTTTCCAACGCTTCCGAACGAACGCGAATCAGAGTTACGGTTCAAAAGTTATGACTGAAGCAGTGTAGAATGTTGTGCTGGTTTTTCAACTTTCTGTCATCCATCGTCGGACGATGCTTTTGGTCTTTGGGCGATGTTAGGCGAGCTGTAGCATGGGAAAAACGCTGTTTTGATCGTCGGACGATGCTTTTTGGTCGTTGAGCGTTGCTGGACAGTCAGAAATGTGTATTTAGGTGTAAAAACACATTTTTTAGGTATGATTTTGGGTATTTTTGACCCCAACTCCATCACCCTTTATTTTGTGATAGGATTAGCTTAGAAAATAACATTGAAGCTTGCATACGGATGATCCGAGGTGGATTGCTCATCAATCGGTGCTGACAAACCGAGAGATTTGTGGTTCATTTTTCTTCTTCTTTGTGTATTCTTTATGTGTTGAGTTTGTAAATGTATTTACTCTGAACTTATGTATATTTTTCGTCCATGGCGTTATATTAAACTTGCTTTACAAATCTTTGTGGATTGTTGTCTTAGATTTTTGCTCTGTGCTAGAAATTTGAGTCGTTATAGACATATACTGCTTAGATTCTCTAGGATGATTATCTGTTAGTTTCTGAACTCTAGAGATAGATTTAAAGCTGACATCTACTTGGATATCAGAGCTTAATGCCTCTGTGTGGTTGTACTATATTGAGAGATCGTCAGTGCGATTACATAGTTGTCTTCTGTGTTGTTGAGGAGGTAGAGAGATCATTTCCTTGATGATACAGTCGGTCTTTCTTGAGTTAGAAATAACTTAGATTGTGAGTGATACGTAGTGACGTTGATGAGTATTGTTAGGTTGAATGTAACTGGTTGATAGATTTAAGTCTGTGATGAGTAGATTATATGTAGGCTTGATAAATTCTTCCTTAGTTTTTATTTTTGTTTACATTTATTTTCTGTTGATAACATTTTCTTTATAAATCCATTTACCCCCAAACTCATTAACGAGTGATTTTTTGAACAACAATTCAATAATCAATTTTTATGAACACGATAAATTCTCAGATAAATATTTCTAAAACTTTTATTGTTCGCCGCTATATCACTTCTAACGGTCATCATCACAACTCCCAAGGAAGAAAGTCTTATGGA